AGGTGTAGAACTTTCCCTTGAACAACTATAGTGTTTGTGTGGGAAAAAGACAGAGTGGTGTCTTTTTATTACCAGTGTGCTGACCTCATCAGAATTGCATCGCACACACACAATAAAGCCATGTGTGTGTGGTCATTCCCACGTTACCTGCACCCCAAGGATTGCATAGAAAAAGATGAAGGCGCAGCATATGAGAAAGATGTTCCCGATGGACTTGACCGCGGCAATCAGAGCCTCGACAGCCAGCTTCAGTTTCGGGGCTCGCTTGATCACCCTGGATCACACAAACACAAACAAAAAGACATTTGTTAGAACCGGCACGTGTACACTACATACAGACCCAAATGTGAAATATGCTTACATGCAACAGTACACGAACATCTATACTGTAGACACACACATACCTCAGTGGGCGAAATGTGCGCAGCAAGCGCAGCACTTTGACGATAACCAGCATTTTATTTTGGCCCGAACATGTCACAGAGACCAAGATGTTGAGAAAAGAGAGAATCACCAACGACCCGTCTATGACGTTCCAGGACGACCGGCAGTAGCTCTTACTCCCGAACAGCAAACCCAGAGCCAGAACCTGGTGTTACAGCAACAACACATCAATTTAAACTTATCAATGCGATATTACTGATCATTGAAAACAATGACCACTTATGAGTAACTTATAACCACATTATATTGCATTATAATGCATTATAAAAAGTTTATAATGCTGTAACTACAAGTGCATATCAGTAAAATTATACAGTGCTATAACCACTTTATAATGCATTAGAAAAAGTTTATAATGTAGTACAACTATGGGTATTATACTACACTATGATTCTTACAGCAACAAATGTAAGTGAGTGACCAGAAATACTTAAGTATTATGATACTTGACCTTATAAATCCTTGTAAAATGCTGTGATGCTTATAACTACAGTTATGAAGTGCTATACGCAGATTATAAAGCATTTTAAGTAGGTTTGTAATGCATTATAGACATGGGCATCATAGAAAGTGAAGCCATGATGTGCTTGTATTTATTAGAACAAATTAAAAATGTTAGTTTATAATAAGAATGCCACACAGTGCAGATCTCTGCAGTTAAAAAACAAAACTGATGTTTACCTTAAAAAGCATCTCTACCAGGAAGACAACACAGAACACTAAACTGGACACTTCGAGTACCCGTCGCTCCTAAAGGGCAGAGTGAGAGTTTATTACATCTTATTTCACATATTATTTGTTTCATGAAATGCAAAACATCCAGCTTGATTGTGTGTGTGTGTGTGTGTGTGTGTGTGTGTGTGTGTGTGTGTGTGTGAGTGTGTGTGTGTTTCTGTATTTGCCATCTCTCATCACACCTTACATGACTATACTGTGTGGACACGCATGTGCGCTATGTACGACTGTGTATAAGGGCCATTGTAGACAAAAAGTAAATCAATTATGGAGCCAGGTTAGGGGGATAATATTCCAAGAAAAAAAACATAATTTCCTAGATTAAAGAGTGAAAAACAAAATCTTAAATTACAGAAGAAAAATACCTCAGAGATCAAATACTTGAGGTGCTATAAAAATACTTTGTACGTCTCTAAATTGTTGCAGTAAATATACTTGATATTGTGTTTGTATGTCATCAGTGATGTCCTCGAATCAAAATGTATCAGTCTTTTGCCACCAAAAATCAAATACATTTGCCTCACAATTTAGTAGTATTTTATTATTTTATTTATGTGGTTGATAGATAGGGTTTTGTGTGTGTGTGTGTGTGTGTGTGTGTGTGTGTGCATCTGTCTATATTGGATAGATAGGGTTGTGTGTGTGTGTCTCCACACTCTGTAGGTGTCTCACCTTGCTTTTGTGTTCTATTCCAGGCCTCTCCATAGCAATGGTGATACAGCTCAGGAGGATGAAGAGCAAAACTGTGTATTCATATATCCTGTGAGATATCACACGCTGGCAAAAGATGCGGAACCTAAACACACATACACAGAGAAAATAAATAAATAAATATATATATATATATATATCCTTGCACTATTAAACATAAAAATTAAAAGAATTGTTTTAACGAAAGCATTTTAATGCCTGTTTCACAATCATACCGACCCAACTATGAAAGTATGACAGATAATAAGATTAATGTGACCTGTTAACAGGCAGAAAATCAATAGTTTGATTAACCATTTAAAAGAAATTCATTCAAGAAAAATTGAACCTGACACTTGCCCATTATGAGTCAATGAGCTACTGTAGCTAGCTGTTTGCTAAACATCTGATGGCGCTCATTGAAACTTAAACTTAAAGAATTGATCAACCTCCTAGAATGTGTGTAAGGTCTAATTAATGAATTTCTTTTTAATTTTCCGCCTCCTGCCCAAACACTACAGGTGAGGGAGGTGTGGGTGAAGGCCAACATTGCTATTTTCAAATCAATTTAAAAGACAGTGTGTGAAGTCCTTCTTAAGTTCCACTCCAAGCTAGTTTATTAAATGAGGTTGCGTAATTGAAATTAAAGAAATATCTCAGCTAGTAAAGACTTTCTCTATGTGTAAATTGGTTGATCAGACACATCTGTGGCGCAGTCCAATCAAAAGCAATCAACTATGCAAACAATAAGAAAGTCAAATGAAGAGGTTGATAGTGAAATCCTGTTTGTTTGTCTTCATGTGTGTGTGTGTGCGTGTGTGTGTGATTGAGAGAGGGGGATGGATGCTGGGGGATGAGTGGGTATGAGAGAGTAGGGGGTGAATAGAGAGCGTGTGTGATATTTTTAGCTCCACAGCCCCACATCCGTGTGTGTTTAATCGAGTGTGTGTCTGTGTGCGTGTGTGTGCATGTTTGGATTGGTTTATCCAGCGTCTCGCTCAGGGGAAGGTAATATGCTTGTCCGAATGAGCTTCTTCTGTGATATTTGCATTGATGGTTTGAAACTGTGGAGAGAGCGAGAGTGAGGGTAAAAAAGGGCAAGAGACAAACTGACGGACAGAAAAAGAGATGGAGAGAGAGAGAGAGAGGGTAGAGGGGAGGGAGGGAGAGAGAGTGGGTAGAGGGGAGGGAGGAAAGACACTGTAGGAGAGAGGATGGAATGAATAAGCAATCCTGCTTTTTCTACTCCTGGCGCTTGCATCTCACTCTGATCACACGCATGCTTCCTCTCCCTTGCTTATTTTTGTGTTGTTCTGATCCGTACTTTGTCCTTGTTTACATATTCCCTCTTTTGTTTTAGTGTCCCTCCCCTTGTACCTTCCGGCGTCTTTGCCTGTAGGTCCTCCCAGTATACGTCCTCTCCCTCCGACCTCCTCTACCCCCTATGATACCTCTGCTCCTCTCCCTGCCTTGTTCCAAATGTCCTCTTATATTAGTCGATGACCCTCTGAACACTCTTTCCCTTTCTAATCACTCCTATTCCCATGCATGCCCGGAAACATATGCAAACACACATGCATACACTTACATACAGCCACACTAACACAGACACGGTTAGAGAAAAAACATAAAACAAGAAGGATTTTTCTTTGCAATGGGCAACTCTGTAAAGTCGCTTAAAATTTTCACCAAGAAGGTAAGGTCTTCTCTGCTGTGGTCTCCTTGAATCCCCTTGACTGGTGCATGTTTGTCTCATGGTGTGTCCCCAACCTGATCAAAAGCTATTTGACTGAACCCTGTACTGTCTGACTGGGTGTCCCTGTGTTTTGTGTTGCTGGAGTCCAAGCACATGGCAGAATAATTAAATAGTTTTTGAAGATAAAGCTTGTGTTTTATGCTGTAGTTTCAGACAATGTTAGGAATTTACACACTTTATTGTTAACTATGACTTTGTGGAAAACTAATTTTGCATGTTTAGGGCAGTGCTAATAATTATTCCGTTTTCTAATGTGTCTTTTTGTTAGATACAATTTCCCTCTGTCCTCGTTAGTGCATGTCCGCATTCCCTAGAAATCCATTTTAGCCTTTTAGACAAAGGTCAGAGGAGTTGGTTAGTGCTGCTTGTGCTCGACCTGTTGGCTGAGGTGTAGTTGGTGAATGTGGATCACGTCACCGAAGATTAGGGTCGGGTCAAATTGCACGGCGATGCAACCTTACCAGCCAGCGGAAGATTTCTAAGCTGTTGAACCTGCACCTGCGGGACGTGACAAGTCAGTGGAAATGTTGCAAACAGGTGTTCTCTTTTTACAGTCAGATTCTATTAGATCAAACATACCACTGGCATTGAGGCTTTTAGATGACAACACAAGTGCGCAGTTGAAGAACGAGGAAAGAACATTCAAAACCATTTCTACAAAGGCTCAAGACGATGACCTTCGTCTGTACAATACATCTCTCGCGTCAGCTGTTCTCATCGTATCAGCATATGCTTGAATAGACTCTCAGTGTAGCAGGCAGACGGTCCCACAAATAGGTTTTCTTAAGATCAGCAGCTGCACATCCTTGAGAAAGCATGATATGACAAGCAACTGTTGATGCCATCTGTGCTAAAAAGATTGGAGTGGTGGAGAAGGTTTTCTTTTTTTTTGGGTTATATAACTGCAAGCGCGTGGCTTCATAGTAATTTTTCTTGCACGATATACCCTCAGACAGCCTAGCTCCATGCATCACTTGGTCAGATCACCCAGTGGGCATTCGTTCCTTTGGCTTGGACTGTAGGAATGCATGAACTGGCATTAGAACTGGCATTAGAACTGGCATGGTAACAGATGGAGCGTGAAGGTCATCTGCAGAAAGTATTATACAGTGTATATTTGCATTTAGTATATGCTTCCATATTAATTTTTCACTATGCATGCATGTAAATGTGTCATATGGGGACTGTAAAAGCATCTGTAGACGGGTAGCTTATGTCTGTGAGATTTGAAGCAGCAGCAAAAATGGTGCCTTGGTAATTCGCTGTGACAGTGAGTCCACTCCACTCGCTTTTAGCTGGATTTTCTTCGACTGAGTTTAATGTTACACGGCGGCAATTGAAGACTTGACCGACATTTTCATGTTTTATAAGCAAGAGATGTTGCTGCCGAAGTAGATAGTAAAAGAATATGCGTTCTGCATTTTGCTTGAGATCAGGCCGCTGCTCTCTCTAATTCAAATATTAGACAGAGCAATGGTTGGACCTTATTTGGCTTTATTTAGAAAGGGCTTGTTTTGTCCACTGGTGAGCAGTGATTGTCCATTTTTAATTAACCTGTAGCTTTCTCTGTAATTGGGATGAGTGATGTGAGAACTCTTTTAGCCCCCTGGTTAGTCGTCTAATTGGTGATTATAATGAAATGAGTGGCTGAACTTTAGCCTCATCTTCTCGACAACGCCATTATTCTGTAATGTGCACACAAAAAAACTGAAATTCAAATAACTATCCCAGTCTTGTTGATTATAAATACACTGCATTATTCCTTTGATTCCTCTACCTTCAGACACAGCCTCTACCATATTACTACCACCACATTTAGACTGTGTCATTAGTTAGAATCATAATGCTGTCAGTTAAATGTGGACTCATGTGGACTCTGTTGTTTCTTACCATCGACAAATTGGGCATTGGAGCATTTTTCCAGTTTATTACATCATTGGTCCTATTTTTAGTTCTGGCCATCATTGCTATCGGTTATGTTAATGTTATTATTATCTCACCAGAGTCAGTGTGCAGATGGGGCAAGAAACATGAGCAGTCAGATAATCTAAACCACTTCATTGGGAGATAAAACCAGTGCGTGAGTACGCCTGAAATGTGGTAATAATCACTCAATGCACAGGAAAACTGTGTCCACACCACAGTGGTAAGTATGTCAACCAGTTGGTCTGTAATTGGAATTAATGTTTACAACATGTGGTTGGGTTATGATTTTACTCTTCACAAATCATAAATTTGGCTAATCTGGTTGGTTTCTTTAAAACTTCTATGATGACTGCGTGTGTTTCTTGCCCCGTCCGACTTTGTTGTGATGTTGCCGTTTTCCCCGATCTCAGCAATGACTTTGGTGACTGTGTAGCTGTAGCTTAGGGGATAGATTGGGTTGTCCTTTAATCACAAGGTTGGCAACAAAATGTGCAGTTGAAGATTAAGGAGCTGTAAAATACAATATGCATCGTATTTTTGCTATGCAGTTAACTCCCCCATTGGCATTGTCTATAATACGTGATGCCCTTTGTGTCACAGTGCAGGATTGTGACCTGCAGGGCAGATTCATGGATGGCATCAGTTGCTCTTGTCATGAAATTACAACCTCTTCCCACTGACTGAGGTGCTTCTCTATGACTGACCCGACTCTACACCTCTCTATGACTGCATGACTCTACACCTCTCTAAGAATTACATGACTCTACACCTCTCTATGACCGCATGACTCTCGATTGACAGACATATGTCTGTCACCCCCTTCATCCCCCCCTCCTTGTTGGCTCCTTGTTGACTCCATGCTGCCACAGTCTTGAGTCACAGTCTCAACCCCTGTCTTTGCCCCTGCTCCCATGTCTGGCCCCCCGCCTCGGATGCTGCCCCAGGACCAAAAGAAGAACTACAAAGCAGTGCAGTCCTCTGAGGAGGGGGGATCTGGGGGGGCCTACCTTGAGCCGCTAGTGGCCCTGGCCCAGAACGCAGCCACTATGCACAACGTACTGGGGCCTGCGTGCATCTTTCTACGCAAGGGCTTCGCTGAGAGCCGGCAGGCTGTACGTAAGTCCAGACAATATCATGTGCATGCCAAGAGATTAGCACACAACACAGTACACCCACAATAACAGAAACATGAGATGAATGAGTGCAGTAATCAGCTCTCACCGTAACCTCAGCACTAACAGCATGTAAATAAACGCAGCGGAAATGAGAAGATGGCATTTTTAGAATGTGAAATCTTTCCTCTTGATAGCAAGAATGCTGAATGCAAGGTTGTCTGTGTGTGCGTGTGTGTGTGTGTGTGTGTGTGTGTGTGTGTGTCTATGTGTATAGTTATGCATGAGGCTGGATTACTCATAAGCATTGGTGGACATTTGTATCAGCATGGAGTATTACTAAAACCGGGTCATGGTGATGGCAGATATGCGCCTTACGTTACAATTTTCTCTCTTTGTGTAATTCCAGCTGTAACAACAACATGCGTTACCGGCTTGTTATTAAAGAAAACAGGGATGTTGAAATCCTCAGTGTAGACGACCGCTGTTTTGCTGACCGTTCTGATGACAAGCTCTCCCATGGCTGTTCATAATGGATGTAGGGGTTGAGATTGGGTCATTTTAATTCAGTGGACCTCAAATTAAAGGAACTGTTGCTTTCCATTGTCTCTGCTAACTTTTATCCTGTTTCTGCTACTATACTTCTATCCGATTATTTTGAAACAGGGTGTCATAGAGTGCCAAGAGTGTGCATGTTTTCTTCAGCAGGTGATCTCACTGATGAGCTCTTCCTCTCTGGCTGGAAGGAAACATGCTGACTCTTGGCACTCTGCTGCACATAACCTGCAGTTACTTATTATCGTGCAGCATCCTATTGTGTAAGGAATGCTGCGTAATGGCATCATTTTGAAAATAGCCGCAGTGTTTGGATCCTAACCTTGCAGTGTGATCCTTCACAGGACCGAGAGTTGAGGCCAGAAGAAATGGATGGTATGGCACATTTCAAATATTTTACAATATTCTCAAATAATGTTCTATGACACTCAAACCCCGTCTCCCTCGCTCTCAGAGTTGCGTGAGGCGTTCAGGGAGTTCGACAAAGACAAAGATGGGTTTATCGGCTGTAAAGACCTGGGGAACTGCATGAGAACAATGGGCTACATGCCAACAGAGATGGAGCTGATAGAACTGAGCCAGCAGATCAACATGAATTGTAAGTAAAACTGTCTGTGTATGTTTGCATGTCTCTAATGTATTTCCCCCCATCCCTCTAACAAAGATTTAGAATCAGTTGTGCATGTCATCACTGCAGGTTTGGGTTCAATACTCCTACAGACACTTTAAAAACAGTGCTTAGGATTCAGCGTCACTACTTTTGTCTGTAAGAATACCCTGAAGGTTAATTCAGCTTCCTCTTTTCAATCTGTCCAACAGTGGGAGGACATGTTGACTTTGAGGACTTCGTTGAACTCATGGGGCCCAAACTTCTGGCTGAAACGGCAGACATGATCGGGGTGAAAGAGCTGAGGGATGCATTCAAGGAGGTGAGGAAAGACATGGAGAGAAGCTCACAAAGTAGAAAACTGAGTTTGATAACAGCATTGTTACCAAAAGTCTTTATGTACATAAAGCATGACAATAATCTTAAGGATGTTCTGCTCGTGTTAGGTGGTCATTTTACATTTGTCTCCGTTTCTCTCATCATTCTCAGTTTGACACTAATGGTGACGGCCAGATCAGCACAGCAGAACTTCGAGAAGCGATGAAAAAACTTTTAGGACAACAGGTACAGAGCTGCTGGGAGAGTCGGTCCTCCTGTTTGTTGCTGTCCATCAATCACGGTGTCTGTCTGAATCTCGTCTGTTACTGCTTGAGTATCTTGCCTGAGTTTGTGGCGTGGGTGTTCACACCTTCTCCACAACCTGATCTTTTCAGGTCGGACACAGAGACCTGGAGGACATCCTACGAGACATCGACCTCAACGGAGACGGGCATGTAGACTTTGAAGGTAAAGAGTCCTAAACTGTGTGTGACACCGTGCTGAGCAATTCATACAGCATGACACATTTCACTGTGTGCAGAGCCTGGGAATCATACATCCCTACACAAAACCTTTTTACTGTTGGTGTCTTTTTATTTCCATCCTTCTGCCTCTCTCTCTTAAACACACACAAAGTTCAAAGTAAAATACTAACACGTGTGCTGATATTCCAATACCATGCTGACGGTGAGGTGAGGGGATGAAGGCAGAAGGTTGTTGTCAGATTATCTCCATACCAAGGGATTATGGCACCTCATAGTTTACCCACAGAGAAAAAGATACACAGGCTTTCAGGGATGAAAATATCAAAAAGGGCTGCTGTTCTCAGTAGCAAAATTACACTTACATCAAAACAATTTCACGTTTCCGCTGCATTACTTATGCAATCATTCAGCAATAATGTCCAAGCATTTGATTGAACAAGATCGGGGAAAAAAGGGTTTCTTTTGGAGTGCTAGAATGCATGTAGGTCATGGTGAACATGACTAATATGATTTTTGAGACCTTGACCTGGGTTGTGCTTGTGTACACCTGACAAATGTACTGTACTCTTAGTTTAGCTGCATCATGCATTTCATTGAAGATTTTTTTTAACTAAAGCTCCGTGAAACACTTCGTCCTTTTCTTTAATTCCCAGAGTTTGTGCGGATGATGTCTCGATGAGTTCCTGCCAGAGAGTCGGCATGTTAAAAACACAACATGGCTTCTCTGTTGGTATGGGAGAAAGAGGAGAGAGTCCAGTACAGAGTGCGGAGGGATCTGGAACTTCTGAACTGGCGATGAACAAGAAAACAAAAACATATCAACCCAGCCCTGAAACTGCCATGCTGAAGCACAACGGCTGACGACTACAACCTGGAGCAACACTGTTGATTATATGCTGCTGCTGTTTCTTAGAACATACACAAAACCAACAGCTGCATTTATGACTTTTACAAAGTATGTTTTAAAAAAAGCATATTTTCCTTTGGTAATAATATTTTAAATGCTGATGTGGCTGTTGACTCAATGACACTATGTTGATAACTGTAGCAATTAAAAATACATGTTCAACTAGCAGCGAAACCAATACAGCACATTCCTCTCTAAAGCTGAGGACATCTTAAGCACAAATATGATATATGGCAATATGGAAATATTTCATGTGATCCTGTCAAAGCTGTGTTTGTGTCTTGTGCATTACTGTTGTTTCTCTCTTAACCCTACTGTAGGTTTATTATGTCCTGTAAGACTACCCTGCTCAATGCAAGCCGATATTTGTTCTGTAAGTATGTGTAACGTAGCACTGATGCAGTTCTTCTTACTTTAATAACATTATGCCCATCATACTGTGAGATATATGTAATTGTCAGTGTGCGTAAGACTCCTTCAACTGCAAACACTCCTGTTGGAAATTCTCTCTAGATACAGTGAGTTGCTAATCTTGAATGCGATAGGCCTTTTGAACTCCATATATGTTTTATTAATTCTGAATAGTACTCGGCATGAACACACACAGAGTTTGACAGATCATCTACTGATGGTAGATGATAAACATGAAAGAGAGATTCTGTTAATTCTTTCATTTGTATCAGCGAGCTTTGATAAATGTACTCGTTTATTTTAGGGTTTTGTGAGTCTACAGAGTCTTCAGAACAGTCCTGAAGTGATTTTCACTTTGGTACAACTTTTACACTTTTAACTTTAATACCTCAAAATGAATTGAACAATCAACCTCTTCCATAAACTGCCCCTAACATATGCTCTAAAACCAATTTCTTTATCCTCTTTTACCTTAATTATCTATATTTGTAAAGACGAAGCATTCGCTGCTTTATGAAAAAAGCCAAAGAAAGTTTACAAAAGTATCATTTGAGTCTTATGCAGTGTAGTAAGTGTATGCAGCGTGTTTTAGAAAAATGATCCATTGGATTATATTTTCAAAATGGCTGCTTAAAATGCCTCTCCTGGTTATTGGGGCAGCTAAATTATTGGTTGACTGTTCATAAATGGACATGGGTTTATGCATGCTATAAAGTTGAGATATTCTTCTCAAGGGAAATCTTACTTTGTGATTTTACTTGTCTTAAGTGTTAAACTATGCATGCAAGAAATAACTGACATTTGTAGCAGAGTATATAAAAAATAAAGGTTTTTATTGAGCTTGAACTTCATCACAGAAGCAATTTCTGTAGTGTGTGTCGTATGTATTAACAGTGTTGTAAGGACATTATTTTGTCCAGACGGCCAGATTATGGGAACTCTTGTCTTTTTCTATGTGGACATTTGAGGACAAACACGTAGACTAAATCCTTTAAAGGAAATAAGTACTTTATTAATCCTAAAATGCATTTCTTTCAGGCCCCTACAGACTGAGCTACTGATGCCTTCACATTCAATTTTGGGGTGAACCTTTTTAAGGAACCCTCATCTGAAGATCAAAATAAACTTGAACCTCGCTTGATGGAGAAAATGAAGTTAATCCATCAAAGTCTGCAGTTGAGACAGAATCAAGTCTGTGATGTTTTTAAAGCTAAAATGAGCTCCATCAAAGTTTTCAGTTTTTAAAAATTAAGAATTTCTTGAAATGTGGAATGAGGCTCATAAAAAAATGAAGATGGGGACAAATGCAATTCTGATATTTACAAAAAGCTCACTGTCAAGCCTTCTGTAGTATTATAAACACACTGGCTTTTCTCTACTTGGCTTTTAACAGAAACCACAAAGACCATCTTCACTCTAAAAAAAAACACGAATTCAGACGATTTACTGCACTTAAAATGATCCCAGAGAGTCTTGCAACCTGGCACACTTGGTTCGTAAAAAAAAAATAAAAAATCGACTCCATCAAAATATCCTTATTGTTTAGTCTGTACAGTGCATACATTAGGAAGGGAACTAAAAACATTGTACATATTCTTTGTTCATTTTAATTGGGTGCAGTGTAGGCCTAAACCTCCTTGTGCTTGACTTTTCTGCATGAGCAGTCTGGCAGTGGGCACATTGTTCTGTGAGGTAAGATGAAGGAGAGATAAATGCTGTTATTTCATGGTTTCCATTGGTACCACATTTTCTTATTTCTTCAGACATTTGAACCACTGGTATTGATAAAAACTATATGATGCTAATGAAATAAACACCGCATTAAACACCGTTTTGACAGATTGATTTTTGGGCCATCCCGCTGTAATCAGATTACCGTCTACAGTGCAGTGACAGCGGCCCTCATTGGCCACCTGTTGCCAGGACGACTGTATACAACTCTAGCTGCAGTTGTAGCTAGCATGTTGTAGCTAGCATGTTGCCAACAGCCTGCAAATCCTCCAGCACAGTGTCAGAAGTCCATGTGCTTCAGCCCGGACTGTCCAGATGGAGAACTACCTGACCGTCTGTCATCTCAATCCTCTTCCGGCACACGACTGGCGTTAGGACGGTAAGAGCTGTCACCCAGGAGCGTTAGCTAACACATTATTAGTCACGGGTCGAAGTGAGCTTTAATATTAACCGAGCAGCTCCCTTGTAAGCTAGCATGTTACGAAACCTAATAACCCATCACATACACCGGCAGGGTAAGTCAATGTGTCCCATTAGGAGGAGGTGATGAAACGTTAAACTTGTAAAACTATAAATTATTTGCGAATTTAAATTCGGTTGGTAACGTTAAATGAATATTAATGACAATGTGTAAGTCGAAGTGTTGTTGTTAGATAACAGGGGCGCTAACGCTACGTAATTAACCACTTAACTGAAACAGGTGCTTGTTGACCTTTAACGTTAACGTTACTGTAACTTAATCCTCGTTAGTTACACAGTAATTACAAGTATTTTGTGGTCCCATAAACTAGCCAGCCGACAGTTGAACTGAAGCTGTGGGCGAATAACTCAGAGATGTTTTTGTCATTTGAATTTCTGCAAAAGCATCCAGCTTTTCTATATATAAACAGTCTCTGAGTCATTGTTGAAAAGCTGGAATAACTGTTCTGCATGCTGTCACAAAACAATCTGTGAATTCATAGAGGAAATCAAGTTACTTTGGAAAGAAAACACACCGCAGTTTTGGGGAAGTATTGCACTTTAACTCTCTTTTAATAATGCCCCTCAGTAAAAGATCCCCAACAACAGTCGACCATATTACTGTTAAACTGCAGCTCAGGATGCTTAATTATATCAGTAATATGTCAATATCATAATCATTTATGACTGAAACTATGTGGGTGAAAACAAATCAGCAAAGTATGATGTCAAAAGGTCATTTAGAGTCAATCACAATGTAGAACAAGTCACCTGAAAGGGAACAATAAGGATTATAATGTTTGTACTTTTTATGACTGTTTGAGCTGTCTTTGTCAGATGTACACAGTGATTTACTCCTGTTGTACATTCCAGGGTCGGCTTCAGAAGGTTTCGCCGCGGTGTGTTGAGCCTACTTGCTCCCTGTGTCTCCTCGGCTGTTGAGCAGCATGAATGGGTTTACATTTCCAGCCGACGACCTGCTGTGCAGGTGTTTCGGCATCTCCATCACGTGTCTCCATGTCTGGTTGACTCTTCTGTTTGTCTTCATAATCGTGCCAACTGTTCTCGGAGTCTCTTTTGGTTTCCGCAGACTCTACATGAGGAGCCTTCTCAAGATCTTTGAGGTGACCTTGGTGTCCGTGTAATGCACGATATCATTAGAAGAGTAGCATACAAAATCAAAGCCCTTTGTATTGATATGCTGTTGGTTTATTTATACCCCAGGGGGGGGGCAAAAGCTTTTCGCCATGGGACTACCATCTGGGGTAGTGTAGATACTGCAGTGAGCTTAGACTCCTGGGAGGAAGTCTATCTACTGGGGTAGTTTGAGATATGGCACAGAGAACACAAGGTTGTTCCCCTCACAAGCTCAGCCACTGTGGTCTTACAGTTTTGTCACAACTCCCCTTCTACACTCAGGATAATGGTAGTCGCGATTAAAGATGAACACTCAGGGACATACCTGTTGTCTGAGCAGGATTGCTGACTGCTTTACTAATTTCTTGAACGTCGTACTTCAGCTGAAGGCAAGACTGTCTTTCTGTGGAGGGTGGGATGAGCTGCAGGCTGTCTTGATTAATCTTAAACATGTGGCTGTGCGACCAAATATGACATTCCTCCAAAGATCCTCTGTTTCTTTTCTCTCTGCCTTGTCAGGTCTCTGACATTGAGTCTAGCAAAAATCAGAACTACTAGACTTAGGTTTCAACCCAGAGAGCTTAAATCTGGAGGATTATGGCGCTGGTATTCCACTGCCTTCGTGTATGGTAATATTCCACCTGTGGCATGGCAGCATTATAGCAACTCTAGCGTGTGGTATCGCTATTTAGTCTGTACCACCCATATGGTTTTTACTATCTTAATTTAGCTCTGGGCACCTCTTTCAGGGATCAGGTGTGAGGAAGCTTTATGTCTGGTAGGCTGGCTTTAGTGGTCTATCTACATCTACATTTTATTATCTTGTAAAAGCTAGTACATCTTTGGTAGCTTCAATCATCTAAGCTTCATGCAGCAGGTCTGTGAGTACTTGTGAGTGTGTGTATGTAGTGTACTGGGTCAAAACTGTGCTCGAGTAAGTCTGACAACGGGTTTGAAATTCAAACTGGACCTGAATGCTGTTGAACGTGTCTACAAATTCTTTGCAGGAAAAGATGTTCTCTGTTGCAGAGCTGTCACTCTGTGCCGCTTATTACGGCCAACTTCATTGCTGCTCATCAGCAATTTAGAAATCTTGTTTTCTAAACTAGTTATCTCAATGTTTTTTTTTTTCTTTGAAATTAGTGGGCAACTTCACGAATGGAGAAGGAAGCAAAGGAGAAGAATCAGCAACTCTATAAACCATGTAGCAATGGTAAATAAGTACTATTCAGTCTTAAATGCTTACCGTACTGTAGCTGTATTATTTTGACCATTAACTTTCTTTCTACTTTTCGTTCTCATTGTAGGAATCATAGCCAAAGAAACACCATCGTCCTTCCAGCAGGAGATCCGGGAGCTCCGAGGTTCTGCCGGCTGTCTTCCCTCAGAGCCGGAGTTTGAGATGGCTGACATCTTCTACTTCTGCCGGAGAGGTGCGGAGAGCATCTTGGATGACGAGGTGACGAAGCGCTTTTCGGCCCAGGAACTGGAGACCTGGAACCTGCTGACTAGAAGCAACTACAACTTCCGTCATATCAGTAAGAGACTCACTGTCCTGTGGGGCCTGGGAGTCCTCATCCGCTACGGCGTCCTGCTGCCTCTCAGGTCAGAGCAGCACGCATGCGGGTTATGTTGCCGAGGCAGTAAGATTCATCTCATCTTACAAAAGATGAACATCTGGTTCTGTCTTTGATCCAGCTGTCTTTTCTTTTTTTTCTGCAGGGTTACTCTGGCTGTCACTGGCATTAGTCTGCTTCTCGTCTTGACTGCTTTGGTCGGCTTTTTACCAAATAGAGAGTAAGTTTCCCACAATTCTCACAACAGTTCAAGCATGCGCTGGAAGTCAGGTCCCTATGCCAAGGGCCCTTGAAATATACGTCCTAAGGGGACCGCAGTAATTGCTGTGGCCTTATTTTGTATGTCTTCAGGTTAAGGTTCTACCTGACTGAGAAGGTTCATCTGATGTGTTACCGCATCTGTGTGAGAGCCCTCACAGCAATCATCACCTATCATAACAGGTATGTTTAATGTTTCGTTATAATTATCAGAACAGTAGTATTCACAGATTAACATCTTTTTGCAAATCTCTCCATTTCAAAGAGCATAATGTCAAGCATATGAAGTGTGTTTGATGCAGTTGCACGTCACCAAGTTGCGTGTCTGTGTCTCAAACTAACTTGTTTGATTTCAGAGAGAACAAACCAAAGACTGGCGGTATCTGTGTGTCTAATCACACAACGCCCATTGATGTCATCATCTTGGCCAATGATGGCTGCTACTCTATGGTAGGAACGTTCGTGTGTCTCTGAACGTTTTCGTGAGAGTGTGTGTGTTCGGTCTTCATAAGAATGAATGATTATGACAAATTTACAGATGAGTAGAGACGTTGTTTTTGAAGCTGAACTTGAGTCTGACTGGTCCCTCAGGTTGGCCAGGTGCATGGAGGCTTGATGGGAATAATCCAGCGAGCGATGGCCAAATCCTCTCCTCATATCTGGTTTGAAAGATCAGAAGTCAAAGACAGACACCTAGTGGCCAAACGGTAACAATGCATCGTCTCAGTTTTGGCTTTGCAGTCAGTCCCACTGCTGTGCAACATATCATTTAAGATGTTCAGCTCAGTGTGTTTTGAATTATAATACACAATAGATTTTGTTCACCCCTGTAAATGTCTTTATTTGTCTTATTGTGAATGGGGGTCAAGAAACTTAGTGCACACTGTTTAGATTAGGTTTAAAATGTTGAAATATGAAGTTGTTGAAACATTTGATAGTGGCTTAGACATTTTTATTACATAATGATTATATATATATATTGATCACTTGCTTTGTCATTTTAGGCTAAGCGATCATGTTGCTGACAAAACTAAACAGCCCATCCTGATCTTCCCTGAGGGTGTGTATGATGATATAGTCATAATAAAAGTACACCTGTAGAGCGGAGCACGTAACATCTGTTGTTTAGAGTCGGTAAGAGCTCCACACCGTGTCTTCCACAGGTACTTGCATCAACAACACATCCGTGATGATGTTTAAAAAGGGCAGCTTTGAAATTGCCTCCACAGTCTATCCAGTTGCCATTAAGGTAGGAACTTTAGGTAGGAGTCTTTTTTTTTCTCCTTTCTCCTCATTTTGCTCGTACCGACGCTCGATGTGGCTTTATGTCCATCTCGCAGTATGATCCTCGGTTTGGTGATGCGTTCTGGAACAGCAGTAAGTTTGGCTTGGTGACTTATCTGCTGAGGATGATGAGCAGTTGGGCCGTTGTCTGCAGCGTTTGGTACCTGCCGCCTATGAACAGAGAGGTGAAACTCTTTAACTCAACCTGACGAAGTTTATTCTGTCTGACGGAGTACTTTTTTTCCACCTAATCTGAGCCTGTTCTTTTTTGTTGTCCACGTGTAGGAAGGGGAGGATGCGGTGCAGTTTGCCAACAGAGTGAAAGCAGCCATAGCTGCACAAGGAGGATTAGTGGATCTCATTTGGTGAGTCATTAGCCACGTTTCCAAGAAAAGATTGTAGAAAAAATATAGAACAGTCACACAATACATAGCATGCATCCAAATACTGTTGAAGGCAGATGCTGGACCAATAGAAGACAGCGATAGAAACATAAACAAAGGTCGGCACACTGTACAGTTGCTCCCTAAAGTGCAATTTTTTGGCATATCCACAAGTGAAGTTTCGAGCTAATGCTCTTTTTCAGACTTCTAGATCAGGTTTGATACTGTTTTCCTTTCTTTCCTGTGTGCTCTCAGGGATGGAGGTCTGAAACGAGCAAAAGTGAAAGACGCTTTTAAAGAAGAGCAGCAGAAACTTTACAGTAGAGTTCTTGTAGGAGAGCAGGAAGAGGGGGACCAAAGTGACGACACATATTTGGAGGATAAAAATCAAGAGGATGAAAGCAATCCAGCTTCAACAAAAGGACAATGAGGACACAGTGAACGTGTGACGTTATAAATACCGACTCTTATACCTCACACAGTGAAATCTTGAATCATTTTTAGTATACATTTGTTGAAATGTGAATTATCAGAAGTATAGATTTGTTGATTCTTACTGTAACCGTCATTTTTACCAGACTCTGAGTGATAGAAAAGCGTTTTTATAGTTTGATATTTATGTTTTTAGTGGTGTAAAAATCTATATTTATTGACATTTTTTGTATGATGTGAAATTAGGAGAATGGTTACACTTACAGTACAGGAAGCTCAAACATTTAGAGACATACACATCCTAACAGGTCAGTTTGTCTTTAAGCTAATGACCAAAGTCCTTCAGTGACCCCGATTCCCCTGCCTCCGTTTTACTGCCATGGGAGCTTGTTGTATATATCGGATTAAAACTCTTTGTAAATACTTTCAGAGATTCTTTTAACAGGTGCACAGCCATCAGGAAAGCTGCGACCATGTCCAGTGCCTAGTACTACTACTACTGTTACATCACTGCCAGACAGTGGCAGTGCCAACAATTGTGCGTCACATTGCTAATTGGCTGAAGGCTCTATATGTGTCTTCGCCTTTAATCTTCGCTGGGCACCAGGAAGCAGCGAAAGTAAGATAAAGCATTTGCAGGCCTGGTACATAATGTAAGCCATAGTAATGTAGGTTTTTAGATTTGTTTGTCTCAGGTTGTTAGGAAAGCCCTTCTTAGAGTGAGGCATGTTACCCTTCTTCAACAGCAGGAGTCAGGTTTCAGACATCCATGTTGCGTGTTGTGGAGTGAGTAACACACATACAAAGCAGCAGCAGTATAGATACATACTTTCTCCATTCCCATCTCATCCTGCCCAGGCTCATGGGCATGGAGGGTTTATCTCAGCATGCATTGAGGTAAATGCTAGGAATCAACTCTCCATCACACTGAGCATTCAATCCATCTGAAATCCCCACAGACACCGCAGCCTGATTAGGATTCAAACTGGAGCTGCATGTGAAACTGAACCCACCTTATGAACCCTATCCCCTGTCACATGGCTTGTCAGCTATCCTGTCCTCTCTCCATGTGACAATTGGAGCAGAGCTCTCATGTTTTCAGACCTAGATCAGAAAGATGTTAGAGTAAGAATAGATGGAACTGTGACTATACATAAGAACATGTCTTAAATAAAAAGATTTAACCAACTAAGGGACGTGTGGTGATTAAAAACGGTTTAGTTAGTACCCAAATCAATCAATCAGTCCTCTCTTGAATGTAGCTGCTGTGATGCTGAGCACTCTGACAGGTGTCAACAAGGAGCAGGTGGGGCCTGTTGGCTCCAGTAAATGGTTGTTGTGGTGTGAATGGGCCAAGCAGTTTGTCAAATTCGTTTCGCGTAATCTGTTAATCTGGGGGCGTGTCTCGTTTAAACCAAGGACCCCTCTCGGTGGTAACCACGCCCAATCAGCTGTTTCCTCAAACGCACCGAAGCTCACGGGAAAACTTTCCCCCGCTCCTGCCCTGTCTCTACCCTGAACCGACGGCAGATATCTGTGCGGTGTTAATCCAGCGACGAGTGGTGTCAAGAATGTCTCTGGCGGATCAGCAGTGGTGTCCCACAAGCGTCCAGGTAACGGTACAGCAGGCCAGAGGCCTCAGGGTGAAGGGGAAGAGCGGCACGAACGATGCGTACGCGGTCATGCAAGTGGGCAAGGAGAAGTTTCAGACCTCGGTGGTGGAGAAGAGCGTGGCACCGGTGTGGGGGGAGGAGGCCGCCTTCGACCTGCCGCCGCTGCTGCTGCTGCATCAGGACGGCGGAGGAGGCAAGGAGCGCGGCACGCTGCACGTCCACGTCCTGCACCGGGCCCTGGTGGGTCCAGACAAACCGCTGGGACAGGCTGTCGTCAACCTGCTGCAGCTCTGCGAAGACGAAACCCGCAACAAAACCGAGTAAGTCCCCACAGTAGGAAGTTTAAAGGTCAAAGAAAGAAAGAAAGAAAGTGGTTTGAGAGGGCAACCAACCGTTGTTATACAGATGGTTGTGTGGTCCAAGTCAGTAAGTAGCCAAACTGTGCATCACAAAGTCCCAGAATGTCCAGGCATGTCTTGATTTCTTCGACCAACAGTCCAAAACCCAAATGTTAGTTTATTTCCAAAGGAAGACTCAGAAAAGCAGAAATCACATTTAAAAAAACTGGACCTATTTGCTGAAACGTCTTGTCAATAAACTAATCAATTACTACTATTTAAGCCTCTACCAAACAAGTGGCATTAACTTACATTTACAGGAGGCATCATTGAGCGTGTCTAATGGTGGGGTAGCCCAGTGGTGCAAAATAAATCATTCTATTGAAGTTTCTTTGAGGTATTGAATGCCTCTGCAGCTGAACCTGAGGACAGAAAAAGTCTTTATGTAAAGAAACAAAACAAAATAACCCGCATGATCACTACATTTTTAAGGAGTCTGGGCATCAGACACACTGTTCTGTCCTGTTGGTTTTTCCCAGTCTTCTGAATACATGACTGTGTTCTATGCAAGTTTACGTGAACTGTTGCTCTTAGATGAATGTAAATGAGGAAAACATGGGGGTGAATGAAATAAACACCGAGCAGCTTTGATTTTCATCTGCGTCACAGATTGCTTGGTTGCTGGTTCTGTCAGTCATACTGCAGCTTTGTGGTCTTGCAGGACAAAACTCCATAATCCATATAAAGTCCTTTTTTAATGATTACAAACTATGTTTGCAGCATCTGTAAAAACAGATCAATGTTGCCAAAGGAATATCTTTCCCTTAATTTGCGCGTTTGAAAAGACTCGTTGGAAGTGAGTTCCCGGGATATTTGCACATTTTTGCCACTGAGGTGAGGTATTTGAGTCATGCATCACACACACCCGCTTTGGTGGGTTTGACTTCTGAATGTTGCTCACTCGCTCCGGTGCAGTTTAAGGGATTTGTTCCCCTGGCAGCAGCCTTCAAGGAAGCCAATCAGCATTACCTACTCGGGCGAAAGATGCGAGTCAAAGGATTCACTCTTTCACTGGCTGAACTTGTCAACAACGGACAGTTTCCCCAAAGAAGACCCAGACTTCACCTCACTACGCCCAATGAGGCACGTTTTTGTGAGGAAAAAGATAAAAACACGAAGCTTTCAGATTCTCCATTATACCGCATTCACACCCAGCAAAGTAGATGAAGTAATTAACTGCAGCCACAGGCCTCCCGGTGCTACTGTATGGTCTCGGTGATGGCAACTATACCTGCTCCTTTTTAAGCAGAAAAGATGCTCTTCAGTCACTTTTAAAGAAGAGGCGTAACATTTTAATTCAAGATGTCCTCGTTAAAATGTGTAAAAACTGTCTGTAGTTCAGTGAGAATAGAAAATGTTTTGTTGTGCTAAGCTGTTTCTGAGAATTTTAGTCTCCCACAGTGTGACCGGTATTATACAAAAGCCTAAATACACACACACACACTTCCTTCTCCCACCTTTTCCAGGGTTGCTTGTTGTTATTTGGGTTTGTCTGCTCTGTTTTTAAGTCTTGGGTCATCGCATGAATTGCAATGTAGTCCATAGCAAGGCTAGATTTGATGTTCGTTACTGCTCATGTTTTGTTCATAATCAAACGATATAGATATGCTGTCTGTTCATGTTTCAGCAAACCTTTTATAAAACAGAGCAACCTGCTTCAGTGAAAAATCCAACGTTGAATCAGATCCGAGAGCATGAAACAAGCATTTGGCCACAAATAACCTTTCATACCGTTCTACCTGCCTGTGGCGATTGTCCAACTCTCTCGGCGTGCTAAACTGACCTTTACCTGGCTGTACTCTGCATTTTTGATCGGACATGGTTTTGGGTATAGTTTTGTGAGGATTTCTTACCCCAGAAAATATTTTGTTTGTAAAATCATCAAACATGCTCTAGCTGGTGTTGAGTAACTTTGATTTCTGTTGATCTTTCTCTGTGAGCTCGGGGAATGCACCTTGACTCGGAGGGTTAAATCCTGCTTCAGCCTCACATTCCTGACTGTTTTTTATCTATGAAAGGCAAACAATGATGGCAACAGAGACGGTCTTGCAAGGTTAGTTTTTCTGAGCAAGACCACTGTGTCTGTGCCGAACCACGACGGACAAACATGTTACATGAGCTGCCAGTAGACTACAACAGCTCTACTGTTTGAGGGACATGGTGTTTGCTGAATTCAGTGAAAGCAGTTAGTCCACCAAGTTCTAATCTTTCAACATGTGTTGCTCGCTAAAGAAGGAGCGGCTGGTAGCAAAGTCGTCACTCGGAAGTATTTAGGAACTTTTAGACAGAACAGGTGGGAATGAACAGAATTCATAGACATGTATTTATTAACTGAACCTTATGCCTGTGCTTTTTTTCTTTCTCTCTAAAAAATGTCTTCTGTGAAAAAAGCCTATTTTCTAACTTAAACTGTCGGCTACAAGGGCATTATAAAACCCAGTGAGGCTACTGACACGCTGAATGACATTTATTGAAGTGCTTCTTTTACCAAAATGTGCTGTCAGGCCTGAGAGCACCTGAACTGTGAAGCCTGGATACATTAAAAAAAAAAATGGGAGCTCAGATGTAAACAACCTCATACCACATAGCAGCATTATAGTGTGAAGATTTTAAGGCACGTCTCTGTCACAGCTTCTGTTCAGCATTTTGCCATTTGAAGCGGCTTCACTGAAAGTTCATCTTTCCTTGACATAGCATGTATTGTGATTTAATTTTGGTTGGAAAGGGAATTTCTTTTTAGTGTCACTCTGGTTTCTTTGCACAGGCCTTCCTTTTGGCTTCTCTGACTCGTGGGTGTGGGCTGATGCAATGAGCCCGGGACACTTGTGGTCCTTGGACATTGTCACTGTTGAGTTGTTCTACTCACTCCGGCAGCTCTTTTGGCCCTCGCACAGCTGTGCCCTGTGATAAGAAAGGCTTGAGCCAGGCAGTCTTATCAGTAGTTCAGGCTTCACAAGGAAGGATGTGTGTGTGTGTGTGTGCGGAAAGTGGAATATATCTACACAATGTTGAGTCATGCATTATCATCCTCTGTGCTGTACAGCAGAACACTGTCAACTCTTCACACGGGTGTGAGATTACGGGGTTTAAGGGCATCGTCGTCATTATTATTATACAGTCCCTGTTTAGTGAAAGTTTTCACTTTTAATTCCTCACACTGCTTACTACCCCAACCAGCTAACGCCCAAACACTTTTGCAACTTCCCCTCTGTGTAAACTGAACTAACTGTCTTCTCTTTTTTTTTTTTTTTTTTTTTTTTTTTTTGAACTTCATGCGAGACGTATTTGTGTACATGTGGCATCAGCAAAGTAAACTAGTTGTTCAGGGTTGTGATTACACTCTACATTTCAGTATAGTATACAAAATTACATTTATAATGGTATAGTTTAGAATGCAAAGGCAGCTGTAGTACATTGTCAGTAAGTACTATACACCAATAGTATGCTATACTGATACTACATTCTTCTATTATATTGTTAGGCCATATTGATGAGGGAGAGGAATCGTATAGTTCAGTACAGTCCTACTTTGACAATGAAACTTGAACCATATGTCACTGTGCATGGGAGTAAGAACATGACGCCTACAGAACACTTTCTGCATTTGCATGATAAAGAAATGCAATAGCTTTCTCACAGTGTTCTGTTGAAGGACATTCATCAAGTCCCTCAGTGGTATATTTATAATGTCAAGGCTTGAATTTGCAGATCGCATCCCATTACTCATAAGCGGTGTGGGAGGCAGGGGAGCTGAGACTGCAGTCTTACTTATTTGACAATTTCCAGGAAAGGAAATTTCCCTCCTTTTCATTTGTTTGTGCAACACATCTGAAGCAGTGCTGAGGGTGAATCGCAGCGTCATATCTTATTCTGTACCACCAAAAAGACTATATTGTGTCTATACTTTATATTTATTGTATCTCATGGAGAAGAGTTATGTGAAAATTGGGGGGGGCGGAAAAGTACCGTTTATGGCACATAAACACAATATGTGATGTATTTAGAAGATAACACCTTTACTTGCTCTTTCTGTTTTTAAAAGCACATTATAATAACCAAATCTGTTTATTTTGAAGGTAACTATTTTTTTCGCATTGCAAAAGCAAGACACACACACACATTTTCACACACACGCACAGAAATGCACCCACGGCCCCTTCCTCATTTCCTCA